TCAGTTATTTACGTTCTTTTATCCTTATCCGCATTTCTTTGCTTTTTATCGTCAAGTAACTATACTTGTAACAATTCAATTTTCTAGAAGTCTGATCTAAAAAATCGATAATGCCTTTTCGACTAGATTTATAGTAATTTTCAAAAAGAAAATTTCAATTGATTTATCTCTAAGAATACATTTACCATCGATTTCCATTTACATCGATAAGTGAACAATCGATATTTTTAGATATGGTTTATACACAGTGATACCATTTACCTGGATGATAAATATGAAACTTTTCCAGGCAAATGACTCTTTATTTAACATCATGTATACATATTTATACATTTATTAATGGCAGATGATGATTGATTATCCTTACACCATCATTTATTATTATAATCAAATGTTATTATCAAGTTTATTCGTTAAGTAAATATCAAAATTCTGATTAATTTGAAGTGTAAAATAAGGAAAGAAGTGTTTAAATGTCTTTATTTTGTTTAGAAAAACCAATAAGTTGTTATTTTTTTGTTTTAAATTTTTAAAAATGCAACAATTCTTTACTTATAAGTTATTCATCTTGACATTTAGAGTATTATAACTTTAAAGAATCTTTACGATGATATTACCTCAAATGATCAATTTTGGTTTGAAATCAAATATTTGTGTGGGTGATGAAAAATTTTCTTGTATTTCTGTCTTTTTTCTGCTTTTTTTTGGTATTTTTATTTGGTTGAAACTACACAAGACGTAATCAAAGGTGGGCGATTAATTGAACACAATCTATTTGAAGAGGAAAGACCAAAAAAAGAAACATTTTTATAAATCGTACAAAAACTAAATATAACTTCTAATATTAGTATTATGTTAAATTCTAATTAAAAATAAATTTAAATCTTGTTCACAAGAAATTTTTAGTGTTTTCTTACGGGAGTCAAGTCATTTAGAGCTTCGATAAACATCAAATTTCAAGAACATTCATTAATATTTTTCTGTAAAGCCTCTTAATCAAACAATAATCTTCTAATTATTTGTAAATTTATCTTCTTTTTAATCTAAAAATTTTTAAAAGTATTTTTAACAAAAGTTTTCTATTAAGATTTTGAAAAGATTGTTAATTCAACACTTCTCTGTAAGATTATTGAGATATTTTTACAGTTAATGTAAATGTTAATGGAAGTAAATTACTTTTTATTATTTTATTTTCTAAGATATTTACTTGTTTAATGTTTTCCAAGTAACAAAAGACAATATTATACTTGATGGAAATCTTCGTACCATGTTATATCAGGAATAAAAATGCTACTGCAGTAACATTGTCGATGATTTATATTTCTAATATATGTGATTCTAAATCACATTGTTATATAGATTTATATATATAAATCATGAATATTGTTATTCTAGTAGTAGCCTACAGTTTGCTAACAATTCTCAACGCCTTTATGCAGTATTAAAAAGAAAAATATCTACACTGATTCCTGTATCTAGTCACATATATTGTGACTTGACTCGTCTCTTGATTCTATAATTAAATTCACAATGATTAGTGTGATGAAACTAAACGTATTATAAACAAACCACAGTCACGTACGTTGTGACTTTTCTTTCTAGCTGCACACAGTGATTTAATATAGAGTAATTCTTTATTCTATCCACATTGTGACTTTTATCAAGTTACATACTATTACTATAACTAGATATATTGTGATTTTATCAAGTCATATTACTAATCTACTAAATTAGTCCTTCAATATGTTATTGTACTATGATTTTAGTGATAAATCTTTACAAGTCACACACGCATTGTGACTTCAAAGTATTGCGTGTAGGCCCAAGCACACTTACCTTCCGCCTTCGTAAATTGTTACGGTTTCGATTTTTTCGTAGGCAGAACGTTTATTTTAAGAAACATATTTATTTATTTTAAATTTATACTAAGGCATTACTTTAAATTACTCAAAACAAAATCCGAGACAGTAAATTATCAATCAATAACCTTTAGGGAAAAAAACTTTATCTTATTCTGCTTTCAATTTGAAATTACCTAATAAATAATCTGGAAATATAATAATTTAAAAGGGTAACGAAAAAGAAAAACAGAAACAGTATGGTGCAATATCATACGATAAGTACAGGATTTTACTTTTGTCTAAGATAAAATTGGTTTCTAAATTTGTCTTCCAATGTTAGTTATGCTGAGCATTGTAAAGAATTGATGATGAATAGGGTATTGTGTATGAGCACGGAAGCTGAATGAACCATTCACCAACTAACTGAAAGAGGTTAACAAGTAATCTTAAAATATTACTCATTCAAATATATATATATATGCAGTACATGTATAATTTCAAATTTTTATTCTTTGAACTTTTATTTTTATTTTCTGAACTTCTTTTCTCTGTCTCCATTTCAATGCCTTGTAAAGAAATAGGCTACATTTAATGAATTCCACATTGAATAATGTCATAGGTTTAGTTCTACAACTATACATATTATCTTTTTTTCTAGAAAATAATAGCTTTTTACTCAAATTTTTATTCTTTGAACTTTTAATTTTAACTTCTTATCATCAGTGTTACGCAAACAATGCATTTACTGTAATCCCATATACCATGCCATTGTATACACCACATTTTTGGATTTATGACGTTGTTATTTTTCCTAGGAAATAATAGCTTTTATTCAATTTTTATTTTTTCAATAACATATTATTTGCTTTCTTTTCGTTTCTAGTAACAGGATACGTGCATTATTCTTCCTAATTGTTCTTAATGTCTTCTTCAGATTTTATCTCATTTTACAAATTTTATATGGTTTTAGATGATTTTGCGAGTATCTCTAAACAGAGCCGTAACTAGGCAGGTGCAACAGATGCACCCGCACAGGGCCCACTTGGAAGGGGGACCCAAACTGCTGTTCACAAGAAATTATATTTTTAAATTTTAAATTTTTTCGCTTTTCTACAGAGTGGTTTGGCGATTACATTTCGCCTTACTTAGACCCTAGATGTCTTCTTACCAGTGTTCCCAACTGTGGCGACTTTTAGAGGGACGTAGTGAGGTAGCGGAGACCTCAGACAAATCAGCCAAAAGTAGCGACTTTTGATATTTTTTAATTTATTTTTTGAGAAATCTAAATTTATGTTTATAGTTTTCAAATTTACAGATTTTTCTCTACTTTATAGAGCTTTCTGGCAACTACTAATATTATTACGATATACAAAACTGTATTTCTAGATTTTTCTACAGTGTGAAGAGCTAGAAATCTGCAAAGATAACATTTTGTAACAAAAATAAATCTGCCCGAGAATTTTTTAAAAATTACTAAATTGAAAACAGTAACTCCCGAATAAAATCTTAGTCTCTCGAGGTTGTAAAAGGCGTGCAGAAATTCTGTCATCATTTTTTTGCTTTATAGTGGTACGCATATGTAGTGTATACCTGAACGACGGATTAAGCGGTAAGCGAACTATGCGGGCGCGTAGGGCCCCGAAGGGGCTCCCGCAGTCTTTAAAATGCTACTGAAAAAAGGGATTGCGAAAACGCAGAAGATAGAATAGTCCAGAAAAACGCTTCGATATATATAGATACATGGAAGTAATAAATGATATAGCTTTAGGGCCAACAATATTAACAGGTGCTATTATTAATCATATTCTTAAAACAAATCAAAAAGTATAGAAAAGGGATTTCTTAATAAACGGAAAAAAAGAGTTAAGATAATGGAAATAGATAAAACACCAGATGAAGGAAGTAACTTGACACCCGAAAAATTATTTAAAATACAAATTTACAGTGTTCTTGACACTCTATTGTTTCAAATAGATTGGCATTATGAAAAAATGAAAACTATCTGTGGCGATTTTTGCTTTCTCTGTGGCTCGTCTTTACAATACATGAGTGTTGCTGATTTTAAAAAATCGGCTTCAGATCTCGCTATTAAATGTAGCAAAGATTTAAAAAAGTACGAATTCACAAGTGAAATTGAAAGTTTTAATTTTGAAGTAACGACTCTTATACAAAATATAGAAACTGCATCTCCGCTTAATATTCTACAGGCTCTTCATGATTTTGGTTTAATTGAGTCTTACCCAAATATCAATGTCGCTCTTCGAATATTTCTAACTCTTCCCGTTTCTATTGCTTCGTGCGAGAGAAGTTTTAGCAAGTTAAACTTAATAAAAAATTATTTAAGATCAGCTATCGGACAAGAACGATTATCCAATATTTCTATTATTTCAATAGAATACAATATCATTAAAAATATTAATTATGAAGGTGTAATTAATGAATTTGCTGAAATGAAAGCCAGAAAAATTCAATTAAAATAAATCGTATTAAAAATCTATTGTAATGTATTTGTTTTATTATTTTCCCAAAACCAAATAAATTAAGGGACCTAAATGCAAATTCTTGCACAGGGCACAGGAATGGCTAGTTACGGCTCTGTCTGCAAATAAAAAATAAATGTTTATATACGAAAATGTGCTTTATTCATGTCGATTTTTCAAGAGAATGCTTAAAATCCTTGCTGACTTATTGATTGACATTTAATTCCTGATAGAAAATTAGCTTTGTCAGCAGTTATCAGCACAGATTAATGCATTTTGAATAGCTACTACTACTAATACTACTGCAATTACAAAATCTTAAGTTCTTGCAAACTCGACAAAACACTTTTGCAAATTACTTCTGAAAACAAATAAGTGCTCTGCATCGAAAAAAACCCTACATTAAAGTAATTAATTATATGGTTTATTAAATTTAAATCAATTCTTAATTAAAAAAAACTTCCAGAAAAAGCATTTTTAAGTTATGAAAATCTCGATTTTTAAGGAGTTTCGCCCAAAATTGGAAACGTTAAATTAAATGAGGTATGAATGAATTTAGATACAAATTTTCAAGCTTAAGATAGAATAACTGACGTTTATGTTAAACATGGATGTATCTGTAAAGAAATTCTTGTTGCACATAAGCTGTTTTCAGCACCAATAACCATTATTTAGTAACGGCGAATGTCTCTTACGATCGATATTCTGACATCTACTGGTTCAGTTCAGTACAAGAGTAGCAGAGCTGCTGACAAGTCGTGCTTCACTGACGAGGTAAGTACTATACTTTACACGTGCGTAAAATAGTTTACCAATAAATTTAACGTATAAAAATTTAAAATAAATATCTCTTTAACATATAATCATTATTTATAGTTAAATATATAGAAATTTTTAATTGAAGCACCGAAGAAACTCATTGTTAAAGTATAGGAAACATCAGTACAAACTTATCATTACTAAATATAAAAATCCAGACAATATTAATTAATTTTCTATCGGTAATATTATTTAATGATATTTCTAGAATTATAATTTATTTTTCTGTGTGCACATCTTGAATAAATAAAACATTATGTAAATATATATAACATGTGAAATTTCAATATCACATCTTTAAATCAACAAAGATGTGTATAAAAAGTCGAGCTTGTATCAATACCAAGTTATGCACTTCATACAAAGAGTTTGATCTTCATTAAAAAAAATTGATTTTATGTATTTTATATATTTAAACATTTATATAAAATATATAAATTTTAATACTATATTATTCAATATTTAGAAAAATTTACATATTGTTACTTATTAAAATTATGCATGAGTAAATTTACAGTAACTAATTACAGAGACAGATAATATAGATTTTAATGATATTTTGATTAATGAAAATATTCATTTTATGTAAATTAATACTTATTAACTACAGTACATTTCTTGAAAGCTATAAAAAAACCAAAACATATCTTTTTGTATTTTTAATGCCTAAAACACCAATTCATAACTAAAAATTTGTGATTTTGAAGTATAAAATAATTATAATATACATAAAAATATATTTATACTTATGTAAAAATAATATAAAATTAATAAATTATAAAATAATTATAGTTTTTAGTTATAAATTTGTATTTTTTTAGCATTAAAAGTACAAATTTATAACTAAAACTATTCCAATTTAAATGATAAAATAATATATTTAATGATGTTTTCATAATAAAAGCATTAATTTTTGTAAATTTACATTTACTAATTACAATAAATTATTCGAAATCTAAATTTCTGTAATAACGCAAATTTCTGTATTTTTAATGCTAAAAAGTACAATTCCATAACTAAAAAATTGTAATTTTAAATTATAAAATAATATTTTTATACCTATTTTTAAAATATAAAATATAATTTGTGTTACTTTTTATTTATTTATAAATATATTCACATAAATATGTTTACAAATTACATATTAGAACTTTTAAAGGTTAGGATATATGAAAATGTAAATAATTACTTTCTGAATAGATTCTTTAATAAATAACCCCAAGGAAATACAATATCGTTTTATATTACACAAATATATACATATACTTATACATAAATTATTAAAAATTAATATTTTTAACGCAAATAAAACGTAATTTTCCAACCAGTAGTTCGAGAACCCCAAAGGGACTGTGAATCCCATTATTGATTAATATAATAGTTTTAAAAAAGTATAAAAGATTAAGAAGTGTTAAAAACAGTTATTTTTATTATATATATATTGAATTATTTATTACATATCAAAAATTCATTTACATAAAAGAGAGTTTTATTAATATATTTTAAGAAATTAAATATAATTGAAATGAAATTATTTTTAAAATATATTTTATAAAGTTATTTAAATTTCGTTTATTAGATTTATTTAGTTTTTATTTTATATATTTTAAATTATTTAAAAATTAATAGTTTAATGGCTAATAAAGCATGATTTCTCAACCAGTAGTTCGTGAGCTACAAGAAGACTTTAAATCTTACTTTTAATTATTATCACAATTTGAATAAGTATAAAAGATTAGGAAGTATTGTAAATATTTTTTAAAATGCTTATTTATAATAAATAAATTAAAATTTTGAATTATTTATCAAATTTAAAATAATTCATTTGTACAGAGATTATTTTTAAATTCATATATTCTAAAAAAATTAAATTATTTTTTAAATATATTCTATAAGGTTACATAAATTTTGATTATTAGATTTATTCATTTTTTTATTTTTTGAAAATTAGATGAGGTTTTTACTTTTTTTTTCATTTTAATTTTATTATTCCATCCACTCATTGAAATCAGCTTCCTTCAGGTATCTATACAATCGATAGGAGTAAATAAATAAAAAAAATCTTGTTAGTTCAGTCAAAGAAATAATCTTAAGTTGGATAATTAAGGAAAAAGGCTTAATTGGAAGGATAAATCCAAAAGAAGAAACAAAAATACAGAATAACAATAATAGCAATGAAGTTAAATTAAGTTTACAAAAAAACTGTTGTACTTTTTTATTTCGTTAATTAAATAATGTTTAAAAAATTTAGTTTAATCGATTAAATTCGCAAAAACATAAGAAAAAAACTAAAATTTAAATGCAGGGTGGTCCAAAAGTTAGTTAACTGNTGAATATGTGCATCTATTAATACATCTCTACTAATTGGCTGAATATTCAGCCAATTAATAGAGATGAATATATGTAAAATGATAAAGATGCACTCATAAATTTAATATATTCTTTTATAAATTGGCTAAATATATTTATTTATTCATTTACATAAGTTCAAGTAAGTGATAAATGCATATATTCAGCCATATATTCAATACTAGAAAATCTCTTTTACAGGGTTACCTTTTAGAATAATTTTTAGCTTTTAAAATATATTTAAAATTTTAAAATTAAAATAAAACTCAAATTTTGTGAAAAGATATATATTTTCTATAATTTTGACTGAATATATGCACTATATTAACTGTAAAAAGAGTAGAAAAACCACATCGCTGAATAAATACCTTCATGTAATATACAAGTAAAATAAGTAAAATATCATAAAACTCCAGTATAAATATATATATTCAGTTATATAAATATAATTGCATCTGTATATATATGTAAATATGTAGTATATATTTTCATATATCAGGATAAGAAGTGGATAGTTTTCAAGCATCATTTTTAAAACTTATTGTCAAGTTTAGGAATTGTTTTTAATAAATAAAATGCAACTTTTCCTCCTCCTTTAAAATGATTTTAATAAAAACTGAATGTTTATTTCTTTCTAAATTAAATTTAAATTTAAAAATAAATTTTTTTTTCTTTTATTTTAGAGATACCAATCCTTCCTTCCAATCTCATTTAATTAGTTAGTTAAATTATCATAAATTTTGTCCGAAGAGAGAATGAGAGGAAGAGAGGGAGTTAAGTTAAAAATAAAATGCAATCGATATATCATATCGCATATCAAGTGACACGATAAATTTATAAATCGTTGCTTAGAGGAACATTTTATAAATAAATAATCATAAAGTTGCGATTCCTTGAGGTATTGCTTCAAATAATTCAACTTTATTCAAAGGATATTAAGATGATGGTTATGGGAGAAGGGGGGAAGAAAAAAAATCTATAAATCCAAGTTCTTTTGGGAGATAGAAGAAAATAAACCCTAGGATACTATTTTTAGAAAGTATCTAGAAGCCGATGTATCGATTGAAAGATTTCAACGTCACCAAATCTTTTATGATTGCATCTTTCACAGTTATATTCATAAAAAAGGAGAAATTATTTATATTTTCTTTAATGATTTATTAAAATATTAAAATGTTTCTATTTTAATTTTTACTTATTATTTATTTAAAGGTTGCATTCTTTTAAGAGGTTAGAGATTAGTGAAGCAATGCTAACTGAATTACTGGATGTTGCCTATCTGTTTGGCTGTTGCATGGTCTTTTGGGATAAAGTTTATTTAGTTTAGAGGCAAAATTATGTGATTTTGTGTTTGGTAAATCGAATACCAATCATATTTTCGGATTATAAAGTTAAATCGTTACTTAAAACAAGTAATTTTTATTTATTTAATATGATGATGATCATTTAGCTTAATTTTTACGGAAAATAATTTATCTTTATTAAAATCTCATCTAAAATATAATAAAAAAATTAATTAATAAAATATTTTTGTTTTTATTTGCTAAAATGCATTTAATTTTTTATATTTGTTTTATTTGAAAATATTCCAATGTTGTTTTCATTCCAAAACATTTTAAGGTTTAATTTAATTTTATTTTTTTTCTTTATTTTTAAATTAGTTTTTTTACTTTGTTTAGTCTGCAATTTTAACTTAAATATTATTAAATCATTTGTTTTTTCTTAATTTTTTGTATGAGAAGTTAACATAATTGTTATTTTTTATGCTATCATTTTAGTTAATTAATAGTCAATAAAGCCTCATAGCTAGAGAGGCCTCAGCTGTCATTTGATACTGAGAGCATCTCTCTTAGACCTCACTACATTAAGGAAAAAAACAGTGTTAAAAATTGTAGTATATTTTAAAAATAATAATAAAGATTAATAAAGACAAAAAACGAAGATTTTTTTCTAATACACAAAAAAAATGTAATCGAATAAACCATTTTTAACGTATTTTTGAGATCCTTGCCAAATAGCGACCCTAAGTGAAAGCCTGATCATAGTTATTGGATATTCTTTAAAATAGCTGAAAATAGGATATTCTTTAAAATACCTAACTACAGTTAGGTCAGCTATTTTAAAGAATTTTTTAATTTGGCACGTTATTATTAGTAAGAATGATCGAAATTAAAATTTTAAAAACTATTTTAAGATTTTCCCGTCTAGTTTGCGATAATAAATTAAATACAGTATATTTATTTCGTTATATTGTATTAGATTTATATTTCTATAGAAGTAAATCATGATTTTTATATGATAAATGTTGTCATTATTTATATAAATCCAAATCAAAATATTCTATAATATATAAAAATTCCANAGGTATTGCTTCAAATAATTCAACTTTATTCAAAGGATATTAAGATGATGGTTATGGGAGAAGGGGGGAAGAAAAAAAATCTATAAATCCAAGTTCTTTTGGGAGATAGAAGAAAATAAACCCTAGGATACTATTTTTAGAAAGTATCTAGAAGCCGATGTATCGATTGAAAGATTTCAACGTCACCAAATCTTTTATGATTGCATCTTTCACAGTTATATTCATAAAAAAGGAGAAATTATTT